GAAAGAAGAGAGAAGTAGGCTACTCTTTTTTAATGATCTCACCGATAATCAGCAGAAAGATTTATTTGAATATTTTTGCCATTAAAAAAAATAATCCCTGAAACTTGCACCGAAAACAAAACAGAAAACAAACCCACTGCCAGCAAGTCAATTCCAACTCATCGCAACCCTATCCAGGGTTGAGACTGAGAGCGAGACTGTAAATCTATACCAGAGCAGATAACTTCATTTTTCTCCAGAGGAGAGGCTGGTGAGTTTGAACCGTTGACTTCGCGGTTAGCAGTGGAACGCTGATCTACGTGCCACGAGATTTCCTTGGATTTAAAATAATAATTTGAGGTTGGGAATAAAAAACAAAGCAGTAGATCATTGAAATCATTTATTTCAATGCAGGCATTGTTTTACATTTGGACCTTGTAACACATCCCATACCTAGAGAACAGGTGTGAAGACAACTACATACGTGGATTTTTTTGGACAAAGTTTTAACAAAAGTACATAAGGCTGAATTGTTTCTGAAGTACAGAACTTCCAGTCGCAAAGTGCCACTAAGAGGCAATACATCCACAAAGGTGCTTAGACAATAAAATATTTGCATATTTACTCTGTAAATTTAAATGGGATATGCTGACATATTATTACTAGTATTAGCAATACACTTTTAGCAACAAGATCTCTTTAACCCTCTGGCATATGAGAATTTTCCAATTTAATTCCCATCAGCACCGTGACCAAAGTGGGCTTTCTTCCACCATGTCCAGTATAGGCACATATTTATCTTATACACAAAATAGCTTTATCAACAAACACTTATTTGTAGTGGTTGGAGTTTTATTAACACTGGTGTATTTACAATGTAAGGGTAATTATTTTAAAGGGCATCCCTAAAAAAATATTCTCATGAGATAGATTTTTGTAGTGTGAAAGTTATGGTTATAGAAGCCCGTCATTTAACAAGTTGATCTTACAAAGTACTAATTAGTCGTCATCTCTCATGAGTTACTTTATGTAAATATGTATTTTAATAATGATTATATCTTTTAGAAAACAAGTTATAACTATAAAAAGGATGATAAATTACCATAGCTCTAACAAAAAAGAACATTAAGAAAGCAGCAATATATGTTAAAATACATAGAAATCTGCTATATACTTCTTGAACGAAGTGCTTTATTAAAATACAATAGTATAGAAGGTGCGATTTTCTTAAATTTTCTCTTTTCTTGGTTCTCCAACTGGACAAGCAAGAAAACATTACAAATGGTCCAAGTGAGCATTAGCCATCAATTCCTTTTGAAGTTAGATTTCAATGGAAAGACTCTGGGCCCCAAAGTAGTTATTCAACTTTACCTTAACTCCCTGAACTGCTGACATAGCCCAAGCTCACTGAATACGTACACTAACTTCATTTCACTATTTCGCTGGAGTATCATGTAATGAAATAGCACTTGTAAACGGATCTCTAAACACCAAGCGTCGAAATATTAAAATGCTAACTCTGAATAGCTTAACACTAGATAGAAAACATCGGTCCTGGTTTATGAAAATTTATTTAAATAATCAATATAAATACAAAAAAAGAGGGTAGGGTGGAATTTACAAACATACAGAAAGAATGAAACACAATTTATTCTTTGCTACATAAATTTACATAGAAAAGTTAGAATAGTTTATTTTAAAATCTATTATCAGTCTCTTTCAACTTAACTTTGGTCAGAGCCTGAAGTTTTAGACAATGTACAGATTTAAGGAATAGCTTTAATGTTTGCTATTACACCTTTATTCATTTTGAGTTTCATGGGAATACTGAAAACTAACCCTGGCAGTTTGCTTCTAGGCAAGGCAATGATTAGTGCTTTCTTCCATGCCTATCAGTTCTAGGTCTCTCTATGTCTCCATCACCAACACCTATCATTATCCTTAATTTAAATGGATGACACAGACGAGGTGAGACACATGAAAAACCAAATTAGGTCAGAAAAGAAATATAAACAACAAAACGAAATTTTTTCATGCTGCCTCTCACAGTACTGAGATCTGGGATGGGAGGCTTTATAAAGTTCTAGCAAATTACCCTTATCACCATCTATGTGTCTATATCTGAACTAGACGAGAAATCACCAACAGTTCTATATGACAACTACTGAATAAAGTAAGTCACATGGTTATTTAGTCTAATTATTGCAAAAATCATGACCAGCCCTTAAGAGTTTTAACTTAGGATTTCCCAAATATGTGATAGATAATCACTGGCCAACACACATTTTGGTGCCTGAAAAGTTAGACTTGTTTCTGGGACCTACTGATTCCAAAAATGGCAGCAGTGTGTTCCCTATCAGCCCTAGTTTTTGAGAGACAGAGCGTAATCCATATGCCACTCTTTACTCACCCATAAAAGATCAGGGTATTTTCGTGTGTTAGCTAGACTGGGCTAGAGGAAGTTCACGTTGGCTTAATTTAGTGTTGTACTGAACATTTAGGTCAAGTGGTACTTCCCATGGCATCCTTTGACCCACAGATAGATTTGGACGGTGTAAATCAGGTGAACTTGGGATTTTCCCGAAGTATCAATCACTTTGCCTTTATTAGGAATGAACTGAAGAGCAGGCAGTTCTTCAGCTATTTTAAAAGGAGGCCAGAAGTAAGAGTTCCTGTACAGCAAATACAGAGTCCTGATGGGTTATGTGTCTGACTGCTAACCACAAGCTCAGCCATTTGAGAAAGATGAGGCTTTCTGCTCCCATGAAGATTTACCGTCTCAGAAACCCAAAGCAGAAGTTCCACTCTGTCCTACAAAGTCACAATGAGTAATAATCTACTGACTGGGAGTGAGTTTGGTACAATAAAGAAGAGATTGCAATGCTCTGAAACTCAAAAGGTGGCTGTCCAAGTCCAAACTCCTTTATTAAAATTACCACGTTCCAACCTTGTTGTAAGATGGCACAACTTCACCTACACACAGAAACTCTCAAGAGCTAGAATTTTTCTTATAAAGAAGCTTGGAGTCAACCTCCCCTCTGAAAGAATTATCCAGTGACTTTTATATATCAAAATGTGTTCTGAAATGTTAGCTGCATAATCTGAAAAAATTTAGATCTTTAAAATATTTATAAAAAATTGCTTTGAAGTCTCATCTTTTTGACACTCTCCCACTTATTTCATTGCCCTTTCTTCTCAAGCTGTGTTCTGACTTGTGGTATCCAACTTGTGGTCTGTATATATGGGACAGCCTCCCAAACGAAAAAGAAAAGCCCGCTGACATCTTACAGATTTTAACTCATAGTGACCCTATAGGAGAAGACCATGCCTTTGGGTTTCCAAATCGTTAAATCTTTTAAAGGCTTCAGAGTGACTGCTGGGTTCAAATCGCTGGCCTTAAGATGGGCAGCCCAATGGGTCCACATACAGCTTCCTGTGGAAGTCCCTTAATACCTAACTCTTAAAAAAAATACCTTTTTTTTCTCATAATGTGTGGCTCTGAATTATTCTCATATTTAAAACTAGGATAAATTAACAAATCAGTATAACTTAATAGCCGATCATATAATGGACTGCTGTATCTGAGACACTCACTAGAGCTGAGGTGGTCTAGCCGATGCCATTTTCTGAATCGGCACCCCACATAACCCAGGAACAAGCCTAAAAACGAAGCCAGCAAGAAACATGTGTTGCTGTTATTAGGCTATGTAATGCTTTGAAGCAGCCGGTTTACCCCAGGGGATCAGACTTGATTTGGCTGCATGTTAGCAACTTGGCCATGGTTCCCACTTGAGTTTACTTGTGACTAAAAAGTTCCACCTGTAACGAAACATCGTATCCTACAAAGAGCGAGGGAAATGGCCGTTGTGTGGTGCTGCATCAATTCCATGTCTCTCCTCTTGGGCAGCTGGCATGTGCTGATATGGTAGATCGTTTGGTTCCCAGCCAATGCTTGCCTACTGTGCCACTAGGGTTTCTGGGGAAATGGGCAAAAATTTGCAGCAGAAAACGTCTGCAAGAATCCTGGTGGCCTAGTTCAGCAGTTCAAAACTACCAAGGGCTCTGTTGGAAAAAGATGAGGCTTTCTATTCCCACTCTGTCTTGTCGGGTCACTAGGAGGCAGAACGGACTTGATGGCAGGGAGTTGGATGTGTGGGAGAAAGCTCAGCCTCGTGAAGAGCTATTTACTTATCCTCACCCCTCAGTTATACAGGCTCTGTGAGCAAGAATTCTGCGATTCAGCCACCATCTATCTGCAAACTCAGTTGGACGGCTGTCTTTGGCTTGATTAAAATCCAGCCCTTGTCAATTTAGTCAATCCCTACACTCAGAGGAATTCCTAGGAATATAAATGTTCTGTTGGCTAGCTAGGGATTTAGCTTTTCACCGAAACATATGCCTCCCTAACTCCACCAAGACTATAACAGGATGTCCTTAATAAAGTTCCCTGATCTTTGTTTGAAAAAAGAAGAAAAGTCTCTAAACTTCCTAAAGACAGATGAGTCAAACAGGATGATAATAATATTTACTCCATAATAATGGATGGTCCTTGCATTTTATTTCACGTCACGAGCAGAGAGTGTACACAGGAAGAGGCAAGACAGAGTTTTGTGCCGTGTAATTAAAAACTTCTATATGTGCCCTGGATATTGGAGTCACAAATCACAGTGAAAAGTATAAAAATGTCAGAGGAAAAACATCAAACCCAAAGCCCAAATTGGACTTCATGAGCGGTTTTGTTGGAGGGACATAAAGGCAGGACAAGGATATAGACCAATCCCCATCACTGTCGACGCAGAGCCACCCTGGGCAATGTTTCCCAGAGTGGGCGAGATCACCCCAGGGAGCGGGGGTTCTGGGATGAACCAGGGTGCTGCAAAGGCAGAGAGTGGACGCTTTACCCTGGATTGTGGACTATAGGACATAAGATTTTAATTGCCAGGGGGACAGTGAATAGTTTTTTTTGAAAAGGGGGCAGTCGGCCAAATAAGTCTGGGAAAGTCTAAATCTCTGTGGGAGCAGACGGGCTCATTTTTCCTGTGGAGGGGCTGGTGGGTTTGACGCTGGCTGTGTGGGTAGCAGCCAAGTCTAACCCTACAACGCCCCCAGGGAAGTCTAATGTAACAGGAAGCAGGAAACAGCCAGGAAATTCTCAAAAGAGCATCCGTTGTGCTAGAATTCAAGATTGTGGAGGGGAAAAAGGAAATTGGGTTGCTTCTGAGCAGGCATGGCCCAGACAAGATTTTTTTGTATTTCCCATGAATGTACACAATCTGACTTTTTAATCACAAGATTTTGATGAAAAGGTTATTCATTTTAATGAAAATACAAAAACCAAGACAACCTCACAGCTCTGATTCTTTGTCATTTTCATCCAGGTAGTATTCGTCATCTGTGGTTGTATCTGAGTCCCAATCGGAGTCTGCTGGGTCCTCCTCATAGATGTTAAGTGGTTCCATTGGCGACAAGCCATCTTTTGACCTCTGACCGCTAGGAGAATTTGAGCTTAATGACTCTGATGGGTTGGGAGAGTTAATGATATCATTTTTCAGGAAACCAGGGTTCTTAAGAAAACTCGGTTTCCATAATCTCCCTTGTGTGAGTGACCTCTTGACATTCTCCAAGAAAGCCAATTGTTGTTCTTTTCCAAAAATCCCATAATCAATAGGTCTGGATATAGACGTTGCCGACTTGGGACCTGCTTTTGTCCTGTCGCCGTACAAAGTCCAGCTTTCGTTTTCCTCACAAGATGGGAGTTCAGAGAAAGATTTGAACCTTCGATTGTACCTGTCGTTGACTGAGAATTCGTTGCCCAGGCTCAGTCGACTCAGGGCATCCTCCACAGAAGTGCTTTCAGAAAAATGGCGCTCCCTGGCTTTTGGAGAACGACTTTTGCGTAGCTTATCACCGTGCACACTGATGTTCTTCAAACTTTTTGAACGATAGAGGTGGGGCTCGGATTCCCACTCTGGGGGTGAACTGCTCCTTTCTTGCTGCTGACAGTTGGTCTGTGCAGTGCTTCCTGGAGGAGAATTGTGTGCAGGCTCCAAAGGACACGGAGGCCTCAGTCTCCTCTCACGCCCAGAGGAGCCTGCTTCCCTGAAGCTGATGACTGGGGGCTGGACCAGAGTTCCTGACTCTCTTTCCAAAGGCTGAGCTACTGTCCTATCAATAGAGTTCTCGTTTGAGGGGGGAGCCTCTGAGCTGTCCTTAAACACATTCCAATGTGCAATGGTGCTGGTAGGCTTCTGATCACTGAAGGGGGTGGCAGGTTTTTGGTTGGATGGTGCAGTGAGCTGGAGAGGGCTCTCAAATTCCTCCACATGCCCTCCACCATTCCTTGACCTTCTACCTTCATCTGTGGACTCTGCACACAGAATGGGCTCAGGGGACAGTGGGTTGTTCTCTGGTGCATTGGCAGCCAAGCCTCCAACACTAGAACTGCCCCCACTTTTGTTGAAAATGGTAGCTACATGCCTTCTGGAGCTGCAGTCTTTAGCTGAGAACTTACTGCTTGCTTTGGACATGGCGGCCACCTTGTGTTTCACGGAAGACCTGTTTTTCCCTTTTCCTAAGTCATCCCAACTGGTTTCCCTTCCATCACGCTTCCCAGGTTGTGAAGGTGGATCCCGTGCCAATCTTGGCATTTCATCCTTGGCCTTGCTGAACTCCGTCATGTCTAGCTCCAGATTGCTCTGAGGTATTTCTTTGGGTTCAGCGTGCAAACGGTCTACCTGTGGCTCACCTGCATAAGGCTCGTCATCAAACTGTAGTTTATACAAAGCCAGAGTAACCGCAGAGACTTGGTTTTCTGTGTCAGAAAGGGCACGATCAGACATTTGTTGGCAATCTGTGAACACCGTTCCTCTGCGGTCACTAGCCTGCAAGCCATGGGAGCTGTCGTCTACAGCTCTGCCTGTGCCTTCTTCCTGAAGTCGTTTGCCACGCCTGGTAGCTGCCACAGCTTCACCAGTGCCACTCCTCACAGTCTGAGAATGTTCAACACCATCTTCTGAAGGGGCCGGGAGACCAGAGCGTCCACCATTCCCTGATGTCATGCATCCTTGACAATTTTCCGATTTTCCTTTGGTACCATTTTCCCCCTGAAGCTTTGATGGAGTAGGCAGGGTTTCTCTTTGCAATTTTCTCCCTTTCTTTTTCCTGCTTCGTGAATCACGTCCGGGTGGTTTAGCACCGCTGTCTGGGGAAATGCCTCTCGATTTCGAGTCTCCGTTAGGAAGAGAAGCCTCTTCAGAGGCTGCGTCCTGTACAGTGCGCCCGGAGGCCGCACTACTGGGCGCCCGGGCCGCAGCCTGCTGCTCTCCGATGTGAGGGAGCCCGGGGCTGTTCCCCCGCATCTTGTCATCCTCCCGGGGTGCTGTGCCCGCGGGCCCTTGAGTGGAGTCATCGCGTTTGCCATTCTGTGAAGCATCCGGGCCTGGTGCAGTGTCCGCTGCGGGCGATTCTGGCGACGGAGTGGCATTTTGTGTGGACTTCTGAAGGAGGCGACAGAACGTCTTGCTGGGTTTCCGTGGTAGCGTGTAATAGATTGAAACCACCTCAAGACATCGGACATTGTCCTCGTCACCAGAGACAGAGAACATGCTTGTCGTCTTATACCGACGCAAAGCTGTCCCACGCGCCTCCTCGCCGGACATCTCCGAGGAAGGAGGTAAAGGCTCTTCGTTGGACAGGGGTACGATTTGAGCAGCCTTCTCAGCCCATGCTGGTGCGTTTGCTTTGGGGGGGTGGCTTTTATTCTCAGCGGAGGAGTCACTTGCCAGAACGCTCCTGCTTCCCTCCCCGGGCCTCGGCGACACAGCAGCCGCATCCGTACCTGAGACTGAACACGTGTCCCTGCCGTCCTTTCCGGCGGAAGCGTGCGTCTCCCCTGCAGGGCATGACACTGTCCTGTGGACCAGGAAAGGAAGGGGCCCTTTCCTCACCGGCGCAGACCCCATGCTTTTCCTAGTGGCTGTCTCCTGGGGGGCTGCAGGTGTCCCTGAAGCCAGGTTCGAAGCGACTTGGGGACATTCGCTTTCTGAGTCAGGAGGACTGGGAATTACCTGGTCCGGTGCCTGCTTCCCGACTGGGTCTTCCACATGAGTTTTGCCTCGGAACGGCGGGGGCCCATTCCTAAACGAAAGAGCCATTGCCTTGCTCTCTGACTTCCTCCGAGGGAAGAGAAAGCTGGGTGATTTTCTGGGTAAGGTGCAGTAGATCATGGGAGCGTCGGAAGACTTGTAATCACCCTGATTCATCTCACGGAGGTCACTGCTGTCATTTGTGGGTGTTGATCGACTTTCTGGGTTGCTGAAGTTTTCAGTGCGGCGTCTTCTTTTTCCTCGCTCCTTTCCATCCCCGAGAGGTTGGTGTGAGTGCGGCGTGGCAGCATCCACCACGTCATGGCAGATCGGCGCTCTAGCATCACCATTCTTTGGGCTCTCTGCAGGGCTCAGGGCAAACCTGTGGCTTTGGTTCTCACCCACGCCGTTTTCCTCTTCCCTGTCTTCCAGAGATGGACCATTTCCTGGAGGGCTTCTCCTTGAGAACCCTGGGGTAGCACACGTCCCCACCGCACCCAGGGAAGAACTGTTCAGTGGTGAGGCCTCCTGGCTGCCTGACACACTCCGGCTGGCAGCATCGGTGCATGGTGCTCCCTCGGTCCCTAACATAACAGACTCTGCTAGAGACTGCGGATTTGGATTATCACTGCTCCAGAGGTTATTTTGAATAATGCTTGGAGTAGCTTCATCGTGTACGGTGAATTCCTGGGGACAGCCATGATTTGGGCTATGAGACCATGGTGATATTCTGCACGTCTGCAGAAAAGGAGGCGACGTTGCCGAACCGAGTTTGTGAGTCCCAGAAAACCCCTTTTCTTGGTTAAGCTCGCTGGCGTTCTCTCTGTGTGGTATGTATATTTTGGAGTCATCTTTCCAGGGAAGGATTCTGGGTGACCTCTCAGAACTTACCATGGTAGATGCATTAAAAACCAACCCATCATTCTCAGCGGAAGGCTGGGAGAGTGGCCTGTGAACATCGGGGGAGGGGTCAGGACTCACTGTTTGTGAAATAGGGCATGGTGTTTCTCCTGCTGTGTTCGTCTGGTCCATGTTGTCTCGTTGTTGGTCCTTCTCTGAAATAGAGTCATTGAGGCCCTTCTCATTATTCTCTTCCATGACCAAGATATTTGGCTGGCTATCAGCAAGAGGTGGGGAATCAATGGAGTCACTATTGGACATGCCGACTCTGCCAGGGCTTCTTCCAGGCAAACAGACAGGCTCGCAGGGAATAATTTCCTGCAGAGTGGCTGTGGGATTTTGAAAACTGGAAGTGTGGGATGTCCCTCTGTCATCGGGCATCTGGGGGAAGGACGTTGTAAATGAGGATGGTCCAGGCTGGGCAATTTCAAATACGTAAGCGCCTTTATTCAGATGTCCTTCTCTAGGCGAACTGCTCTGGTGACATTCCAACCCGTCAGATTTGGGAGGGCAGCTTGGAGCAGTCACAGGGCAAACATTTGGAGTGCTGAACGGAGGCGCCAGCTGGTTCCCATTGCCTTGCGACACCTCCATGCTCTCCGGGGTGCATGTCTGCAAATCCCACTGCGGGGGACACGGTTCCTGGGCCCTGGAATTATTTGGCCCATAACCGGGAGAAAACGATCCCCAGTGCTGAGAAGGGACACCGTGGCCATAAGCAGCTGCTACGTGAGCTGTCTCAGTGGAGATCATTTCAAAGTCGCTGGAGGAAGAACTGAAGTGTTTCCTGTTTCGATAAAAGTCAGACCAGGAAGAAGGATCTTCCTGCTGGCCCCAAAAAGGCCTTTGTCCAAATCTCTGTGCTCTGTTTCGTCCAAAGATATTGCTAAAGAAAGACCTAGCAAATGGGTTATCCTGAGGATAGAAGGGCATATTCTCTGAGTTCTCAAATGGGTCAGGATCCATTGCACTATCTACAGCGGCATGTACACTAACATTCTGGTAAGCCCCCTGTGCCTGGTAAAATTCATATCTCCTGGTCTCCTGGAAACACCTGGGGTAGGTATCCTGGGCAGCAGGGTCAACTTCCATAGGTAATGGGGCGTTCAAGAACGCATCCTGGTTCTGGCCATCTCTGACGGAATCTGATCTATTCCATATGATGGAGGATAAGGGAGTTCTCTTTGGACTCTGCTGGTGGCTCCGTGGTATAAACGCATTCCTGTTCTGCGTGGCGGCTGGGAAATGTGAGCTCCGTGCTGTGAAATGCCGTGTGGCTGGTGAGGCTGACCGCTGCTGCCTGCTGTCAAAACACAGAGAAGAACTGCCGAAAGCATTCTTCTGAACATGATCTTCTTCTAAGACCCTGGGCTCCTTTGTCCTGTACATATCATAGATTGTTCTTGTGCGAGGAGAAAAGGTCTTAAAACCTTCCCTAGGTGCTCCTGGTCTTAGGATGTCGTAGATAGACATACTGGAAGTTTCATTGTAGCGATTGTGTCTTCCTGTGACGTTACCGGGTCTGCTCCCACTGGGGGGAAAACGACTGAACTGTGCTCTGGAGTCATAGTTGAAGGGCGTTCGGGGATTCACTGAGCTTGAAGATTGCTCCTGAGCCAGTTTTCTGTCCAAGTCGTCTAAAACTAAAAGGAGCATATGAGTTAGTTTTTCTTTTATTTGTCTAAGATTGTTATACTCTAATGATGATTTGAATTGTGAAGGGTCTCCTTCAGGAAATACTCTCACCTATCATTTTACTTATATCATACTATTGCGAATGTGAATGCATTAATTTTGGTTACCTTTGTAACACAGTTTGATTCTAACAAGACTGGGATGGGAGTTGCTTGTGGTAGTAAAGCTCATACTTCTTTAAACAAAATAAAGTTTTACTAAAGTATTAAGGACTTCATGCCTAATTTTCTGAAAATAAATCTAAATCTTGATTTCTTTTAGTGTCTCTAAAGTATACTAAGTTTTTGCAAGACTTGGGACTAGTAATAAAAGGGCATTAACCATACAGATTTCAGTACTGACTGTAATATTGGATGACTATGAATATGAATAACTGTGCAACCACCAGTGTTATGAAGCCGAGCCTCACTGTTCCTTTCAGGTTATCAGGCATCGTAATACTTTTACCTGTGTCTACTGCATGGGGTAGTCACAGAAATGAGTCTATGAATACAGTGTGGCTTCACAGTTATATTGTTCAAAAGAAAAACATGTAATTCCAACAGTAATGCTAAAGGCTTAACACTGAATGCATAAATACAATTTGAATAATACATAGAAGTTTGATACATCAGTGCATGATATACTAATAACCCAAACCAAACCCACTGCCATACAATTGATTCTGATTCACAGCCACCCAACGTAGGGTTTCATAGACTGCAAATCTTTACAGAAGCAGACAGCCTCCTCTTTCTCCCACTACATAGCTAGTGGGTTTGATATGCAAATACAGAGTATTTTTCCTGACAAAAATTAAGATCCGTTGATACCCTCTTAAGTTAGCACTTTTTTTGTGTCACACACTTAATATATGCATTTGTTAAATGCTTACCCAGGCTGCAGGGTTGGTAGTAATATCATTCTAATTTTGAATGAAGAAATCAAGGCACAAAGAGATTTAATATGATGCCCATGTGATGCAGCTAGTGGACCCAGGCAGTCATCTCCCGAGGCCAGGCCCTCAAGCCCCGTGCAGGGCAACTTCTGTGCCATAAAAGCTTGTCTTTCACTTCATGCTTTTGGTAGAGCTAAAAGCATGATTTTGCGACTTGCTTAGGTGCCTGTGAGGTTGTGAAGCTTCTGTGGTTAATCAATGCTCATCTTTCTCTCAATCGCCACATCAGAGACTAATACAGCCAGATTCTTTGTCTACTGAAGAGTTACCGTCTCTGAAACCCACAGGGGCAGTTCTACCCTGTTCTATAGGGTCTCTATGATTTGGCATCAACTCGATAGCAATGAGGCTTTTTTAGCTTTTAAAATGCCAGAGAACATTTGTAAGGCTTATCCCTTTCTAAGTGTGTGTAAACAGGATATACTTGTACCAGGCCCATCATATTAAGGTAGGTTTGACGAGGTCTTTGGAATCTGTTCTGGACTTCTCAGTTGGTGCTATTCAACCTGCACACTCACAGAGCTCAGCTTGAGCACCACGGATTTGTAACTCAGGCGTGCGAAGGATTTGTGACTATGGACTCCTTCAGGAAATGTTTTCATTAAAACATGATTTTACATCAGTTATTATAATAACTAATTATGTACATTCCCAAATTAAACAACCAAACAGTAAAGGACAAGGGAAAAAGAAAATCTAACAATGTCATGCGTCAAAATTGTTCTTTTATTTAATGATGACAGTACTTCTTTGAACTCTGTTCTGCCCCCTCAAGCTATTTGTGGCTATATTTTTCCTTTTTTCTTTAAAAAAAGCTTTTATTACAAGAACAATACACACACATAATAGAAAATAAAGGGAAGTATAACAATATAGGTAAAAGCACCCAGAATCTTACCCAGATGTAACCACTGTTAGCCTCCGCACAGCTGGGTATTAAACAGTTCAAGATCACTTAGCGTCCAGAATCAACAATTCTCTTTACTGACTATCTCTGGGGCCAGACAGATTCCTGTTCTGTTTCTCGTTGGGATTTTTAGGGAGTTCAGGTCATATTTCCCCCCGTCCATTCACAGGACCCTCCTCTTCGAGCAAAACCTATGTTTTAGAATAGAGCATTTTCCTCTGGGCATCTTTAACTGACCATCCTGCTGAATGCCTCTCATTAACCAGCCACCTGTCCCTGCGACAGGGTCCAGGTGATGGCATTGCTCTGCCAAAAGGAATTAGGTCCTCACGTTGAAGCTTGTGAAGGCTTTAGAGTTATCTTTTCAACGGGCCAGGCTTGATTTGACACGTGAAGGCCGATGGTGCTTCCATAATAAGAAAACACATGCGCGTGTGGTACTTTTGTAATTTGTTTCGTAATGAGCCAGACAGGATTGCTCCTAGGGTTTCAGTTCATACATGCATGGTTTATTAAAAGCAAAACATGTTTACACTTGCCTCTGTGATTAGTAGATGGCTGGAGACAAGTTCTCTCAGTAACCGGGTGCCTTCAGAATGAAAAAATCTAATCAAAAGAGCGGCTTCTGAGGGGAGCTGCTGGCCAGTGAAATTCCAGGCAGAGAGGTCAGCTCAGAAGGCTGTGGGGACTAGTTTGAAAGTCACAGGGGTAATTTGGATGGATTTTCTAGAAGGACGTAGGATGACCACAGGGGCTTAATAGGAAGAAGTTTTCAGGAAATTTAAATCTGCTTTGGTGAGAAAAAAGCGGACGCTTTTCTTTCCAGCGTGACCGTGCACGTGCTCATTATCCGGGGCTAGCCAGATGACGAGAATTTCCTGGGAAACCCTGAATTTCATGGGGAAGCCCTAGTCCATCTACTCTACAGCCCTGACCTTGCCCTTCTCTTTGCTGCTAACACTCAAAGACCATGGAAAAGGAACGCAATTTGAGTCCTTTGAGGATGCCACTGCCTGCCATTTTGATGTGATACAAATCAAACAGGGCAGGATTAATCAGGGAAGGGCTAGAATGGAGAAAATGTTGTCTTCAGATGTTTATAGGCCAAGATAGAGGCTCTGTAGAGAAACAATAGTTTCATATCTTAATGTTTTTATCTAATAAAATGTTCTATCATTCTATAGCAACTTTCTGACTGACCCGTGTGTATTGTACAAGGTTAATTGGTTAATAAAATTAGACTCCATCATGTCTATTTAGGAGCAATAAAAGTCTATGAAGAATCATGAACTTTATAGATGTATTTCCAAAAGGTATATTGTCTTTTTCCCTGAGGATATATATTAAATAGTATTACTCAGTCATATGTTTGTCAGTCCTTGGTCAATGAATATTTGTTCAGATTAAATGTAATCATAAGGTTTTAAAACAGTGTGTTGGTAGCCTGTAACAACATCTTTAAATAAATTAAACAAAGGGGCTAGGAAAAGAAAATACTGGGCTTGATAGACTGTGAGCATTTTAATATAAACACAATAAAAATCATTTGGTTCTCATTACTACTGGGAGTCCCAAAGGCAATTTAAAGTATAGACTTACCACGAAAAAACTCATTCTCCAGCAGAGAAGCACCCAACGAAGGCATCCCCCTTCCCTCCCTCATGCCTGCTGGCTTGGGGGCAAATGCACCGTCGACTAGTTGATTTTCCAGGGGTATACTGTATATTTTTGCCGGCTAATTTTAAAATAGAAAACATAACATCAATTTTTCGCTCTTCTCCAACCAGAGTACTCACATACTCCCACAAAAAATGTCCCCAGCTTAAAAGTTTTCGTTTCAGGGCTGCGAATCAATGTTTCTAACATTTATTTCTCTATGATGTTTTGCCATTTTGAACATTTGCAAACTGATCATCAACTTTATTACATCTACATGAGATCTCTTTATCCTGAGTCTTTGGGCAAGACAGCTTTTCTCTGCCAACATTTCCTATGAATACACACAGCATTACACAAATTACCAAATTGACCTCTCTGGAGTTCGGAGTATCACCTGCCTGAGACCAGCGGCTGAGACTTTGGGTTTCCTGACACGGCGCCTGTTCTAGGAGCCCTGGTGGGAGAGTAGTCACTTGGGCTGCTAACCACAAGGTCAGCAGCTCTGCAGTTCAAAGCTACCAGACCCTTGCTGGAGAAAGATGAAGCTTTCTTCTCCCCTAAAAAGTTACATTCTCGGAAACCCACAGGGGCAGTTCTATCCTGCTTTACAGGGCCACTGCGAGTTAGAATGAACTTGATGGCAGTGAGTTTGTTAGTTTGTTTTTCAGTACTTATTCTACCAAGGCCCATTAGCTGGAGCTTGCAGTGGATCTTGCAACTTGTGGACTTGATGACGTCAGAAAAAAGATGTTTCTATCCACAGAGTTCATCTGGAATGGGAGCAATCCCTCCCTCCCCCACCAGTCATTAAAGAGACAAACCAAAAAACCCTCACTCCCATCTAGTCAATGCTGACTCATAGCTGTCTTTTGTGGTTATGGGAGTAGAAAGCCCAGTCTTCCTCCCACAGTGCTGCCAGTAGTTTTGAACTGCTGACTATGCAGATTGCAGCACAATGTGTAACTACACTGCCAAGGTTCGGAAATAACTCTAAAACACAGGCACCGAAAAGCGTAACTTAATTAAATTAAAAAACAAAAACCACATTGCTTGTTTTTGAAGATTTAGGAGAATAAGATGTTGTTAAAATAGTTTTGCTTTCTTTCTTTATTAGCACACGGTTATGTTGCTTTTGATTTCATCAAGTCCAGTCAGTGCCCTACTTTCAAACTTTAATTTGTCTTCATATCCTTGGGGGAATTATGCACTCCTACACCATTACTTTCTTTTGCCAAAACTCAATTTGCATTTTCTCTGTCAAACAGGCTCTGTGACTCTCGGGCTCCATAACTCATAGGGTTGTCCCTGAACAAGACTAGCAGCCACTTCCCAGTTCAGGCTCCTTATTTTCAGCTCTGTCTGCTACCCAGCCCTTGTCTTGTGAGCCTCTCTCCTTTTCCAAGTCTTCTCCTCCCTGCCATGTTCACCATCACACTTCAGAAGACCAAAGGTCGCCTCCCTGCACAGCTCCTCGCTGGACTGATTCTGAAGTCCCGGTTCTCTTAGTCTCTTACATGCCCCCAATCTAGTGTTTTACACCCTTACTCGTTCTCTTCCTCGAGGCTGATGGGATGTCTTTCTTCTTCCCTTTAACTTTCCTTGTTTGACTGTTGAAACGCCACTGGTGTGGCAGTTCAGTGACATTGATGACCTCCTTTGAGCTGAGCAGCCATTTTCACCCTGAGTTCTTCTTCCCCCATTAACATAAACCTCTCTGCCCCCTGCATTTCCTGTCTAATCTTTTGAGTTGCTCTTGTCCTTGGGTCCTTTGAAAGAGTAGCCTGCTCCAGGCAGTCATGTCTTACTAGCTGAGATGAACGAGTGCTTGGTTTTAAGAAGACTCCAGGGGATATTTTTGGCTTAGCATTTAACAAGGCAATAACTTCAGAGGTTCATCTAGCTTCCATGGCTCAAGACAGTCTACAGTCTTGGAGAATTTAAAAATCTATTCTGAATTTCCCCCCTTGGATTAGGAGTCTTCTCTAGGTTAGTTACTTCTTCTTTCTTTTTTTCTTTCCTACTTGTACTTGTCTCCCAAATATAAAATCAGATGGACAAGTTTGTCAATCTTGTATTAGTTTGGGAATTTCTGTAGCACTGAAATGGAACCCGTCAGCAGTACAGTCTGGTAACAGGTTACGAACAGTGCAGGTTAATTGCTTCTTATAAAATCCAAGCCCCAATTTCTTTGACTCGTGCTTTCAGTTCTATAAACAAGTCATAATTGAATACTCACAAAGAATATTTATAAGACAGAAAAGACCTCCAATGATAAATGTATTGATCGCTGGCTATAATTTAACTAAAATACGAAAATTTAAACTCAGAGTTTAGTGTCCATCAGGGGTAAAACAGAACCACAGTGAGATACCAGTAAAGGTAATAAAAACAATAGTCATTTAAGAAACCAGAGCAGCTCAAGTTAAATTCTTTTCACATAAAGTATAGCAAAGTGTTCAGCTTTGTGCCCAGCCTACCTGGCTGTCTCTTTCTAGGTACTCATAGCAATTATCATGCGCTACCGGAGGTTATCTACTTTCTCCCGATATGTAGTTTTGTTAGTGAGTTCAGAGTAACTACATCTGATTAAGAAATTACCAAGTCCCATTGTGTTAACCATTTTAACATGCAAACAAATAACTACTTTGGAAAGTACACGAACTGAGTAAGGGCTTACTTGTAGGAGGAGATGAATCTTTCTAAGCTTGGAAGGTTCACTCCCATGCAGAGACTCTCACTATAACTTCCTTTGGTTATATTTCAGCTGTAAGACCAAGTCTACTCATCAAACCTGTTAAGCATGTTTCCAGCAGTAAATTACATGGCTAACCTAGAGTACAGTTGTCTGCAGAGCAGTGATTATGAAGACGGTGCAGGCCCAGCAAGTGTGTTGTTCTGTTTACATAGAGTCCTTATGAGTCAGAACCAGCTTGATGGCACCAAGCCGCCACCACCACCAAACTGCTCTCTCACAGTGAATGGATGCGGGTCCAGTGGCTCTCCCTCTTCACCACCACCTGTTTGTCCCATTTTATTCTGATCATTGCATTCTGGTGGGGGCGGGGGCAGGCAGTATTTCATGATGCCGTTGAATTCTTAGGCATCGCTGGCATTGTACATTTTATGTCAAATTGAACTTTGTTTACATATTTCCACTTATACTTTCCCGCTAGGCAGCCTCCTTCCCCTTCCCTCTTTCCCCTCTCCCACCCCAGTTGCCTTCCACAAATTTCAGTTCCTGCTCTGTTCTAGGTACGGTGTGAGGCAACAGGGACTGAAAATAAGCTAATCAGGACCTTGGAAGCAGAGCAATCGCCAAATGACTAGGAATATATTCTACTTTCTACCTTGCATACTGAGCATGGCCTAGAGAGTACAAGAGCCTGATTAATATTGAGTTCTAAGGCTACACTTCCTACAATAAAAGGCCCCTCTTCTGAGATTTTTAAACACATTTTTGAATGTTCATTTAGTACTGAATACCTCATATTTGAATAAAATTGCTCATGATGTTAGTTTTGGTCCTGTTGTGAGGATTTTTTGTCTATTTTGCTTTGAGTTGTAATCCATACTGAAGGTTTTTTATCTTCATCAGTAAGTGCTTCAAGTCCTCTCTGCTGTCAGCAAGCCAAGTCTTGTCATTTCCATATAACGGGTTGTCCATGCGTCTTCCTCTGATCCCGATGCTGCACTCTTTTTCCTGTTGTCCAGATTCTTGGATTAGTTACACAGCACACAGACTGAGTAGGTGTGGTGACAGGATACAGTCTGGATGCTTTAAATATGCAGTATCCCTCTGTTCTCTTTGGATGGCTGTCTCGTGGTCGGTGCACTGGTTCTGTAGGAGTACAAGTAACTGTCCTGGAATTCACATCTTTCTCAATGTTATGTATGACTTGTTATGATCCACCCAGTCAAATGCCTTTGCCTAGTTAATGAAATGCGGTAAACATCTTTCTGGTTTCTCTCCTGTTAGCCAAGAGCTCTCTAACATCAACAATGCCCTCTCTCGATCTACGTCCTTTTCTGAATCTGACTCAAGAATTTCTATCCGTTCCATGTTGATGTCATGCGGTACTTGCTTTTAAACGATCTTCTGTAAAATGCAACTTACATGGGATCTTAATGGTACTGTTTGATAATTTCTGCATCTGTTGCATTACCCTTGTTTAAAATGGACACAAATAAGAGTTTCTTTGAGTTGGTCGGCCAGGTATTTGTTTTCCATATTTTCTGAACATAGACAAGTGAGCACTTTGAGCCCTGCACATCCATTTGATGGAATATGTCCACTATTACCCAACAATCCATAGAGTCTCATTTTTACCCAGGCCTTCAATGCAGCTTGGAGGCCTTCTTTCAATACCGCCTGTTCTTGATCATTTGGTTGAACACTGACCAATTCTTTTAGTACAGTAACTGCGAAATTCTTTCCATCTTCTTTTGATGCTTTTTGAATGGTTTAATATTTGGCCCATAGAATCCCTTAATATTATTATCAATAATTGAATTTTTATATTAAAAGATCATTTTATTGGGGCTCTTACAACTCTTATAACAATCCATACATCAATTGTATCGAGCATATTTGCACATATGTTGCCATCATTCCTTTCTAGACATTTACTTTCTATTGAGCCCTTGATATCATCTCCTATTTTTCCCCTCCCCCCAACCCCATCCAATAATTGAATTTTTTCTTCACAATTTGCAGTTTGAGAAATGTCGAGCATGTGCTTCCACCTTGGTTTTCTAACCCCAGATCCCTTTACTTGGTCTTCTGGAGCTTCCCTTCGAAATGTTCTCCTTAGGTCTAACTTTTCATTTATTAGAACATTAATGCCTGCAGACTAGACAAGTTGTGGGCTGTCATCAAGAACATCATACATGAAGAAAGAAATGGAGTATTAAAGACAAAGAAGGAAGGAAGGAAGGAAGGAAGGAAGGAAGGAAGGAAGGAAGGAAGGAAGGAAAGGCTAAAATGGAGATCAGAAGGGACAACTTGCTTTTGAGTACAGAGAAACTAAAGGGACCAGGAGAAATGATGGTGTAGCCCTGTTAACTTCACTTTATTGCTTGTTATGTTATTAATCTTGTGCATATCTTTTCCAGTTAGATGGTAAACTATCTAAATAGAATAACCTTGCCTTAATGCCACCATTACATGTGGTATAAGATTATAACTCATTATAATGTACCAAGAGGAAAAACTACATATGTGAGATTTCTAGTAAATAGTATTAAAAGAACTAAGACTCACCAAAAATTTACAATACTAGGATTCAGAAGCAGGACAGCATAGTTAAACACAGGTTCAACTCTTGGCTCCGTGTCTTAGTAGCTATATTACTTTGGATAAGTGACTGGTACTTAACTTCTTTCTGGACCTTCATTTCTTTCTTCGTAGATAAAAAGTATATTCACTTCATAAGGGTGTTGTGTGGATTATATTATGCATTAATGGTTGTAAAGCATCTTAGAATGGCGTCTGTACGGTAGTAAGCACCTGTTGTTAACTGCTACTGGGGATGTTTGATGCCTAATGAGTTGGAATCCTGTCCCGCAGGATTAGAACCTTCAAATGGTGGCTTTCAGATTCTCAGGAACATTCTCAAACCATACTTACAACAGGCTGAGCAAATGAGCCCCTTTATACAACTTCAATTCACTCTACCAATATTATCTGCAGTTTTGACATGACTAGACAAACAAACCTTCTATCATAGAGTAGCCTCAGGATATTCGAGAACTTCCTATGGCAGCCAAACCTGCTGAACAGCTGTCTGAGTTTGAGTCTAAGCTCACCGATGTTATCCACTGCCTTGATAAAGTCAACAGACTAATTTTTCAGGGTGGTTCCCTATTTGTTCTGTGTCTGCTTTCCCACAAAGCTCCTATCCACCAAATAACCTTGTGGAGTGAAACCATCTAAGTGTGTCCCAGACAGTCGGGACACACAGGTGACAAGTTCTGTCCATACTATCCCCGATGATAAGCCCAGTGTGGTAAGTCCCACACTGGAGGTGTGCTTCTGGGAGTATGGTCAACAGTGGGCCCAACCAACATTTGTTCAGAGATGAGGACTGGGCAAGTGACCAAGACCATGTGTTTTGCTTTTATTCTCAAAGTTGGTAATTACATTGACTTTGTATTACTCATTCATAAGGAAATGGTTCTCATTTGGCAATATCTGGAGACATTCTGGATTGCCACAAATAGGTAGGGGAGAGCTTTTGGTATCTGGTAATTTGAGATCAGGGATGCTGCTAAATATCCCTCATACCCAGGCTAACCCCACAACCCCAAAGGCTGAATAGGGGCCCTCTAAGAGCTACATCTACCATTTTATAACTTCTAGGAGTTTCCATTTCTTTTTTATATTTGTTACCAGTTTCAGGCACCATGGCTCTCAAGTGGTACAGGATAGTAGGCTCCAACTACTTCTCCAAAGGAAAGAGTGCGGAAGCATCTGGGAGCAAGGCTCTGACCTGCTTATAGAGCAAACACTTCATGTAGGGAGAATGTCATTCATTGCAAGGCAAGAGTCTGCCTATATGCAGACAGGGCTTCAAGGCAAAAGGCATTATTGACATTTGGCAGTGGGTTTATGGGGCCCTGAGTTTTCTAATCTTGGATCTTCCAATTAACGAATGTGATCTTGAGATGATCTTTTAAATTAACCTCAATTACTTTATCTTTAAAATGAGGACAATGACGCTATCTGCTTCATGGATTGTCTGTAAGGGTTAGATGAAATGATAGCAAATTCTTGATTAGAATGTAGCAGCTATTGGTGCTGGTGTCTTTATCGGGGCTTTAATGCATAAAAAAAAATGAAAGTGAAGAAAAATAAACCCACTGCATCAAAGTTGATTCCAACTCACAGGGACCCTATAGGACAGTGTAGAACTGCCCCTGTGGGTTTCCAAGCCTGCATATTTTTAGGGGAGCAGAAAACTTCATCTTTCTCCCACACAGCAGCTGATGAGTTTGAATGGCTGGACTTTCAAACAGTCAAAGAAAAGGCCAGTTTCTCCCACAGAGGCAGCTGGTGGCTTTAGACTTTGACCTTGCAGGTAGCAGCCAAGGGCTTTAACCACTGTGCTACCAGGCTCCCTCCAAACATATGTAAGAGTGACAAAAGAACTGTGACCCTGAGAGCAGTAACATCTCAGGAGGCTCACTTTTGTGAGCTGTGTTTAGGTTCTTCACCTAAAAAAAGACTCGTTACCAGACTGATGCTCAATGCTTTTTAGGAAAAAAAAAGAGAGAGAAAGGTAAGTCCTGGTTGGGAGCCTTGGTGGTGTAGTGGTTACGCAACGGGCTACAATCCACATGGGCAGCAGTTCAAACCTACCAGCAGCTCCATGGGAGAGAGACTGGGCTTTCTACTCCTATAAATAGTTACAGTCTCGGAAAACCACAGAGGGTCGCTATGGGTCAGCATTCACTCAACGGCAGCGAGAGTGTTTTGGTTTAAGTACTGGGAACTAAAACCCCAAAGCAGACTCACTGCCATTGAGTCAGTTCTGATTCAGAGCAACCCTGTAGGATAAAGTAGAGATGCCCTGTGGGTTTGCAAGACTGTAACTCTTCCGAAAGTAGGAAGCCTCATCTTTCTCCCATGGAGTGACTGGTGGTTTCAAACTGCTGACCTTACAGTTAGCAGCCCAACGTGTAACAACTATAAGGCTCCTCTGGTTATTGAAGCCAGGATCACGATAAATTGAAAATTTTCTTCTATTTCACTCTTAAGTCCCTTCCCAAACTCTCTACCTTATGGTTATTTTCAGCCACAGGAATCACACACGATGGCACAGGAAGATCAAGAGTCATGGCCGTGGCAAAGCAAGGAACAGAAAACGTACAGCTTTTCATGCTGCTATTGTATGAGCTCAATGATAAGTTGCAATGTAAGCCTTGGGTGGGAGGTCATCTTGCATTGTTCCCTCTCAGTCCAATGCTTCTTATCCATCAATGGCTTCGCCTTTGAATGCGTGTCATGGTGAGATCAAGAAAGGGTCCAAGACAGAACCACATTTGCTAGAAAACGTGGCAGCCACGGCCCCTCCCTTCTTCCTTTGGGACTGTATGGGAGTGACACGGGGCAAAATGTCAGAGACTAGTCATGGCGTGAGTAGAAGCACAATGGCCTTACATCTTCCTGGGAGAGCCTCCTGCTTCAGCATTTCAGCACCAGAGCCAGCTGGAAACCAAACACAACTGGAGAACTTTGGAGAAATCCAAGCTAGAAAAGTACATTGAAAACTGAGCCAAGGAGAGCCCTGTGGACATCAATAGCCTCCTAGGGAAGATATCCATTTTTGAACGTTCAGTTCTCTGGTTACTTACCCCAGCAGTTTCCCTCACAGACACAGGAGGTCCTGCAAGGCCATCATATCTGTGGAAAGAATTTGAAATAATATCTTTGAAGAAGGGACGACATTTTACCAGCAGGAAAATCAGTGGTGTCCTTACCATTATATCTTGATATCTTGAAACCATCTATTTTAAATGCTCTGTAAAAGGACATTTCTTGTTTAGTGAATTGCTGGAAAAAGAAAATTGCTCCCCATAATTGCTTAGAAGCAACGTTCTACATCTTTGTCACTCAGGTTAGCCAGAGAATGTCACAGCAGAAAAACATAACAAAAACAGTCCCTGTTGTCAGTGTTTAGCAGGAGTCAGGCACTACTCTCATGTTCTCTGGGTGCTGCTCATGTAAGTACTCCTAACCCTGAGGTGGGCCCTATTACTACTTCCATAGATAAGATGATGGCGGTGCAAAGAAGTTAGGGAACACTGCCCAAGGTACGCCCTTAGAGGCTGGGCCAGAAGTTGGCCACTAATAGTGTGAATCCAGTACCCTGCTTCTCAATCAGCATGGCACAGTGGCTGTTTTTGCAAAAGGAAAATACATGATCTGTTCCTGTGTATTGTTGTTTGATAGAGAGATTCAGTCAAGAATAGACTCAACCAATTCAGAAGGGGATTTTTGAAAACCCAAGCCTTTTAAAGGGCCTTCGGGTTATATGTTGTACTTATTTAGAAAGCATCTTGCAGGAAAACAATTCTGCTTTTACCATGCTGCTGTTTTCAGGTTCAATGAAAAGGTGAAAAACAAGACCCAGATCCAGAACGGAAATAGATTTTGGTCTTTTAAATCGACCATCATAGGTCCAGGATTGCTCTGCCTGTATGACGGCCCGAGTCCACAGACCACAACCTCGAGCTCTGCTCTGTATGAATCGTGTCCAAGTCAAGGGAATCAACAGTTAAACTAAACAGAACTCTGATTCGGATCAGTCTAAAGAGGCAAAGTGTAGCTGTCCTTCATTCAAACTCCTAACTGCTTCATGGGCCACAAAAGGTGAGCCTAAAACAATTATATACTGTTACTATCTCCCTATATGTCTAGAGTGCGGCTCCCATTTTACACAGAAATTGAATTAGGGCTCAGACATATTTTTATAGTACTCTAAAACACAAGGTCTATTAATGTCTAAAAGTCTTAAATCCCACTTTTAGCTTTATTTTTCCTTTATGGACACCATTAGTGAGGCTACATTTCTCCTACATGCTAGGTACCATATTGCATGGTTAGGAAGTGAGCAATATGATCAAGACAGGGGCCCTCAGGTTGATATTGAGTCAAGTGCCATTGATACCAGAGTAGAACTGTGCTCCATAGGCTTCACAGAGCTGCTTTTTCAGAAGTATATCACCAAGTCTTTCTTCCAAGATGCCACTCTCAAATCCATCTATATCTCTGCATTTCCCTGTCTTAAGGCATTTATTACTATAGTTCCTTACTTGTCCACTGTCTCTGAATTTTGCCCCAATCTAACTCATTCTCTGCACTTTTGGTAGATTAATCAGTATAACTGGAATAAGCCACTTTCCCTACGTAATATTTGAAGGACTCCCATTTCCCCACAGGTTAAAGTTCAAAATCTTTCCATTTTTAATGCCTCATATGAGCTCACCCTGCACAATTTTCAGCCTCATGTCTCACCTTCTTGTAGCCCCTCTGCCGTAATGAATATGCATCCCCTCTTAGACTATGCACACATTACAGCTTTGCTGAAACACTTTCCTGCCGCTTCTTGGCCTGGATATCAATCTCACCCTTGAAGAATCACTATAAATGTTATTTTCCCTGGAAGCTGGTCTAGGACACATGGTCCTCCTCCTGTGCTTCCAGGCAGGACAGAAAGGACTTTCTGATTTTAGCACTTCTCCCTATTTCTTGTAGGTGTCCTGACAACCCTAAAATCCTTAAAGCCAAGGATTGGGTCAGTTTGTTCCACTTTATTCTTAAGGCTTGGCCACAGAACGGCACAGGTAATTCCTCGGATGATTGGATTCACCCTTATCCTCATTACATTTGCTCTTCCTCTTAGATTCACCACCAACTCCTCCCTAGCTTCCCTCGTCGGAATGCAGAGTTCCCTTCTCCTTCTTCACCCACCACACACCATCACCCAGCTCTCATGATTCTATCTGTACGCTAATCTTGCACAAATCCACCCACCTTTGTTTAGTCTACCACCATCTCAATAGTAGGCAGCAATTTGGTGCTCCCTACAAGATGATAAGGTCCTCTAGGGGAGAGACCTGGCTTTATTTTCATGATTTCATCTCCAGCACTAAATGCAGTGTCGGAGGCAGACTAAGATTTAATCAAGGTTCGAAGAGTGAATGAAAGAGAGATGACCGCATGGGCTACTTTCACCCATGCCAGGCACTTTGGAGCCAGCCGAGTGCGGCTAGTAAAGAGCTCGGCTGCAACAGGGTCCAAGTCTGACTGGACAGTAAAATACCCTGGAGCGTTATCCCACCCCCTCCCACCACCAAAAGCAAAGAGCACCCCTGTGCCCGATTTCAGACCTGAATGAGAAACTCAAGTTTGGGGCCTGAAAATGTGGCATTAATTTTTAAATTGCTGATAAGATTCTAGTGATCGTGCAGATCACAACTAGGAACTCCTCGTTACAGAAACCCAAAGGCATTTCCCCTTTCTTGCTTTTCCTTACCTCTCCCCACCCACACCCGCTGCCACTGGGCTAGTGCCCATGCTCAGTGGCCCTCTAGCACAGGGTGGAACTGCTCCACAGGGCTTCAAGACCCCAATCTTCACAGCGCAGGCGGCCACAGCTTTCTCACACGGAGTAGCTGGTAGATTCAAACTGCCAACCGTTCAGTTCGTAGCAGAGTGCTTTAGACGCTGCACCACCAGGCATCCTCCTAATTCCCACCACAGCCCAATTATTTTGGGGATCACAGAAGGAACATTTCCAAAGGAGGATCTTGCTTACTCTGGCTTCTCCATCAATAACGGAGCCTCGGATGCCTTCCTGTTTAACACAAGCGTAGAAAACAAACTCTAAACCCACGGCAACCATGCCGATTCCAATTCATGAAAAGTGAAGACAAACTCACTGCCACAGAGTTGATTCCGAGTCATAGGACAGAACAGAACCGCCACTGTGGGTTTCTGAGACTGTAATTCTTTTTACGTTTCTATTTATTTTGGTAGCGCTTCACAGGAGTAGAAAGCCTCTTCTTTCTCTGTGGAGCAGCTGGTGGTTTCAAACAGCTGACCTCAGCAGCCCGACACATAACTCCCTACGCCACGGGAAATCCTTCCAACTCATAGTGACCCTTTGATAGGGTTTTTGAGACTGTGTATCTTACAGTCTCATCTTTCTCTCGTGGGGTGGCTGATGGATTTGAACTGCTGATCTTCTCTTTAGCAGAACAATGCCTAACCCACTGTACCCCAGGGTTCCTTCAGCGAAGCATAGGCACCTGCCATAAGTTGAATGGCAGGCCTCGGAGAAATGTCAGTGTCCTACTCTGTAGAACCCGTGAGCGCTACCTTATCTCGAGAAGGGTGTTTACAGTTGTAATTAAGTTACCAATCTTGAGATGCGGCTATAGATCATCCTGGATTATGCAATTGGGCCCCACGTGCAATGACAAGCGTCTTTTTCAGAGTGAGGCAGGGGGAACTTCCCCTCACAGAAGAGGAGGCAGTGTGGCTATGGAGCCAGGAACAGGAGTGGTGCGACAGCCACCAGATCTGGCTGACCTTCGTGGTTGACAGTCCTGAATGCAGATAGCCACCAGAAGCGGCAGAGACAAAGAACTGGTTTTCCCCAGAACCTCCCAAGGGAGTGAGGTCCTGTTGAACCAACCCCGGAACGGTGAACAGATAAATGCGTTAAGTCATCCAGGTGTTGGCAATTTACTACGGCAGCCATGGGAAAGTAATAAAGGACATTTGGAGAGAGAGAGAAATCCAGGGTGGGGGTGGGCAGGGGAACAGCAATCTGCTTTGTTTGGCTGAGGTTGCAGTTGAACTACCTGAGCTGTGCACATCCTACAGATTAGGCACATTTGGGCATATCTAAAGAGGCTGGTTGTGCAGCGGGTTAAGCAGTGGGCTATTAACCATGGGGCTGGCTACAGGAGTCCACAAACACCCTATGGACCAGTTCGCTCCTGTCCAATGGGGTCACTGTGACTCGGCAGCAGTGACAGGAAGAGCAACTCCGTGGATCCGTCAACGTTTTTTGCATCTCACGGTGGTATGCAGTCTCGCGGCAAGACAGCAGTTGTCATTCTCTAATCCCAAAGATGCAGGAGGTCTCCCTAGAGAGCAAGCACCGTGTTAAACCTCAAAGAAGACAGGCAAATTGAACTGAAGGATGGGCGTGCGATGCATTCAGCCTTCTGCTCTAGTTCCCTTGGACTTCCACTCTGCCCTTGGGACCGCCACTTAGGAGAGTGTAGAAAAGGAAAAAGGGAGAACACAGGGCTCCCCAGGTGTGAGCATCTATGTGGACACGAGGAGAAGCGGCCCCCATTAAAGGGTGCGTTCCCCAGGGAGTTCGAGGGCGAATGGAAAAGAGCCCCATGCATCACCTGTATGTACCTAGTGGAACATGTACCATGGGCGTAGCCCGGGTCTGGAACAGGAAGAAACAACTTGGGATGCCAACCTGAAGCCAGGAAGACGGCATTTAGAAGCTCATGGCCTACATTTCTGGGGACTTGCAGAACTCTGGGGAAGGAATTCAAGAGACGAAAAAGTTACTAAAATTCTGTTCTGTGGAGCTGAGTTCCACGTGCCCCACCACGTGGCACCAGGAAACAGAATTTGTCAGAAAATGTTTAGAGAAAGCTAAATGTGTAATTTTCCTGAACTGTGAAAACTGGCAGGCAAACAACCAACTAGAATGTGAACAGAATCTATTTCTGTCCCTGTGGGGACAGGGTTGGGCTACAGAGTGTAGAGTTGTTCGTTCATTTGTGAACAGGGTTAAAATCATAATGGCATCAATTGGGAAGCACATCGACCTCTAGCCTCCCAAACTGGGAAAGAGGAGAAAGAACAAACAAATTCTATTCAAATCAGAAATGGTGGGTGTTTTGCCCTATCATAAATCCATACATCCACTGACAGGAGGAGGTCAAAGCTTTGGCATCCAGCTCCGATCACGGCCTGGCTCTCTCTGGTGGACAAGTATGTGTGGTGAAGTCAGTCCATTTTCTTCTGGAGAGGGTTATCCATTTTCTAGTATCATCCTTTCGCGAAAGAACAGCTTAAGAGGAAAAGAAACTTGGATGATAAACAAGTCTTTTGGGGCTGAAGGTTGGTCCTCTTTTTCAGATTTGCAAAGGATCCTCTAAACGGCTTTGCTGACTTGCTCCCCAGAGCACCGTGTGTGACAAAGTCAAGTCCTTGACTGCTTCAGCAAGTAGAAACCTGACGGCTGCCCTGCACAGGATGACTGGTTCCCCTGGGGCCCTTTGTCAGTTTGTCTCTGTGTGCTCACAGGCAAAAAGAGCTCCTGAATAACTTTTGCATTTGGGGGGGTTTGACGTGAAAGATTGCAACTCCCAAAGAAGGTTCTATCTGGGACTAGAAGGCCCCTCAACATGTATGACACACAATGTATATTAGAGCACAATGTATGGTAGAACACTACCCTGAAAAGATACCGCTTCTGTATCCTATCCCACACACACATTCATCGGGGCTGATCTAAATAATAGGTCATATTTAAAAAGAAAAAGAATGTGCTTTTACATTTCTGTCTTTTAAAACATTGGGGAAGCAAAACGGTGTATTTATTATATTCCATACCAGCAGAATTAATACTGATTGCTGGTGGAAGGTCAGGCACGGGGCTGTAAACTGCAGGGGCTGCAGTTCAAACCCACCTGTCGTGCCACTGGAGAAAGAAGTGAGCCGCCAGTCTTTTGATCTAGCAGAAGGACAGTTGCTAAACTACAGTTTTGCAAGACTGTGGATTTTTCTCACTTTGCTTTATTACCAAAACACAGGATACCCGGAACGAAGGTTTTAGATTGTTTGCCTTCTTTGACACACTTCTGCAATTTGAGATAACTTGAGAGATAACAGGTTGCCTCGTTTTTCCCAGTTCACTAACATCAGACTGTGCAGCTGTCTAAAACTCTGCCTTAATGAAAATCCCCCTCACCACAAGTCCCAGCTATACCACATACGATAAAGACTTCTTTTCCCCTGAGGGAAATAATCATTTTTAAATGTCACAAATGGAAGCATTAGCAGTGTTTCAAACCTTTTTTTCTTTCTTTTACCAAGGAAAGCAACTTACCAATTTGAAGAACTTCTTGCCAATCAGTCTGGTGGGAAAAATCCCATAAATCTACATTTTTTGCTCCCAGCTCTTCATTATTTCCTCAAAGACAAACACAGGCCCCAGTGAACTGGAAATAAAGAAAAAATCTTCCATCCAACAAGAGGGGGGCAGCCAGGCCGGGGAGCCTCGTCACAGGCCCCACAGCGGCTGCTCTCTGCTGGGGCTTTTCAGCCACAGTGACCTCCGACACCTTTTATTTAGCACAGCAACGCACTCTAAATGATTTGAAGGCGCACGGAACAGATCACGTGACAAGCCAACACCTTAAGAGGGTGGGACGCTTTACAACCAGGAAGAGGTGCCGAAAATATTTAGCAGTCAGCTCAACTGCAAGGAAGCCTCGCCTCACTTGTTTTTCACCAAGCCATCCCGCAATAGAACGCGTCCAGACCAAGATGTACCGGATGGACCCCCGTCCACGCTGGGAACCTTCTGGAGCTGTACCTCCGCCGCTCAGACAAGTGCCTGGACATGCTGGGCAGCCGCCCTCTGTTTCTGGTGACCACAGGACATTCCCCCGACTGTTCTGACAAATTGGTTCTTCTCTACTGTCTCTGTTCATCTGATAATTACTCTTTTTTGATCTTTATAACCATGGACACAAACCTCTCCCAATTTCAGAGAGAGGGGGGAGTGGGGAGGGGAGAAGTGGGGAGGAGAGAAGAGAGAGAGGAGGGTGAAAAGAGAGAGAGAGAGAGAGAGGAGATATTTCCCCCACCAGGGCCTTGACCAGGCTCTGGTGTGGTAAAGAATGTGTTAATAATCAACTCCCAACATTTAACCCACTGTTCACCCAGTGCAGCGCCCCGGACAGATGGCGTTGCTTAGCAGTGGGATTTCAGGTGAGACAAGTTCCCCGATTTCATAAGAACATTGCCGCTGTGCAAGCTAAGCTCTGACTCTTTTGTTCCCAGCTGAAATAAAATTAGAAGAGCCAACATCCAACACGCTGAACACAGACCTGGCTGCTGGCTCTGACACGGGATAACCACGGGGCGTCACAAGATCTCACTGAGCTCACCCTTTCTGTGCCGGCCTCGGAAGCTTGAGAGGCTCCTTTGTGGATTTTCTGAATGAGAACAGGGAAGCGAATGATGATCTGAAGCTCAGTGGAGAAAGAAAGGATGTTGGGGTTTTCTGATTTGACAGAGTTTTAGATACTGATGTTTGCAATTCCACAGGATCTAAAATAAAATAAAAAATTAAAAAGCAAGGACTGCATTTCTAGATAAATATACCTTAAAAACAAAGACTTGACATGTGTTTCTCTTGGTCTATTTACTCAAGAAGCTCTGGTGGCGTAGTGAGTTATTCATTGGGCTACCAAGCACACGGTAAGCAGTTTAAATCCATTTCCTGCTCCGTGGAAGAAAGTGAAGGCTTGCCACTCCTATAAAACTCGACAGCCTTAGAAACGCACAGGGGCAGTTCTCCTGTGTACTATTGGCTCACTGTCAGCCTGAATTGACTTGATGATGGCCACTGCTTTTATTGGTTTTGTTTTTATTTGAATTTACTCATGCAATCTAGACACTGAGCAGGCACCCCCCACAAAGACCTCAGGGACTAAGGAGTGTCCAAGCTCTCTCTTGAAAGCCCTTGTGTTATGATGACTCTTTGGGGCTAGAGAACATGCGCACACACAGCCGTGAGCCTGTCGGGATGCACCAAGAGTCAGTCTGCGGAAGTCTCTCCCTTCATGTCAGTTAGGGGAATTTTCTCAACACGTCTTCTCCATGCCTATAGTAAACTCATGGCGCTCTGAGCTACCTTTGCCTTCAGAAATTTTTATTTCCATACTTTAAAACCATGGTGACAGGCAATACATAATTTTATACCAATGAAAGTAAAGAAAAATTAAATCGATCCATTTAGTTAGAGGGTTCCTTTCAAAATCGATCCCTGTGCTCATTTACTTCAAACACATTTGGTTCCAATAGGTGCATGCAGCCCTGGTGATACAACAGTTGATGCTCAGGTGCTAACTGAAAGGTTGGCAGTTTGAGCCCATCCACTGCCTTCCATGGGAGAAAGACCAGGTGATCTATTTCCATGAAGATTAAAAACCAATGCCATGTCAAATGACTCATAATGACCCTATAGGATAGTATAGAGCTGCCCCTATGGGTTTCTGAGGCTTTAAATCTTTACAAGAGGAACTCACGGTAAGGGGAAAGTCACCATGGTGTTTATGGGGTTAATCTAAAAATCCAAGCTCTCAGTACTATTAAAATGATTTGTTTACTACGGGAGTTGCAAAGTACTGCTACTTTATACAGTTTTCTGTGTGTTTCATGATGGTATTAATGTTAGGGATATATATGCAAAATCAGTCAATGTGCCATTGTATCAGTAAAAGGACACTTTGTGCTCACATTATTATCAATCAAACCAAACCAAACCCAGTGCTGCCAAGCCAATTCCAGCTCATCGAGATCTCATAGGACAAAACTGGCCCAGAGGGTTTCCAAGATTGAATCCTTAAGGAAGTAGCAGTCTTCAAAGAAATGCTGGTTGGTTTGAACCGAACCGCCAGCCTTTCAGTTAGCAGACAAGCATGTTAACCACTGAGTCACGCAGGCTTCGTCATCATTTCTAATGCACTTTATTAGTCTCACCACAGCTCTGTGGATGCAGGTTTTTAATTCAAGTTTTGAGATGGGAAAAACAAAGTTAAATGGCAATGGTGGTAGTCACATAGTTAGACAGTTCCCAAAAAGTATTTATTAGAGTTCACATATGATCTTTAGCTACCAAAGAACCAGAGGGCGGAGGAGCCCCCTTCCCCTCTCCCTGCCCCTATCCTGTCCCTCTCCCCTCCTCCTCCTTTAACAGCATCCCATTGACGTATGTGCTTACTGTGCCCAGTTTAGTGTTGCATACACATCATTTCATGTAATTCTCACAGTTTTTGAGCTAAGTATTATTATACCTGTTTAAAGTTGAGAATAAGTAACTTGAACAGAGTCATGAATAGAGACAGGGTAGAAATCTGAACCAAGGTGTTATTTGACATCAATGCTGTGACGATTTTATGTCAACTTGAATATGTATGAAAGTGTAGGGGTGAAATCCAACCTGTCAATCATGTGATAGCCTAGACCAGAGGATGTACACTGGCACAGATAGGCACTGGAAACACAGGGAATCCAGGACAGATGATCCCTTCAGGACCAGTGGCGAGAGTGGCGATACCAGGAGGGTGGAGGGAAGGCGGGGTAGAAAGGGGGAACTGATTATAAGGATCTACATATAACCCCCTCCCTGGGGAACGGACAACAGAAAAGTGGATGAAGGGAGATGTCGGACAGTGTTAAGACATGACAAAATAATAACAATTTATA